CTACCTTTTCGCCCTCGGCGTCGTTTCCGGTGTGCTCTTTGGCTACGTTAGCAGTGACCTTCTGACGGGGTGGAGAAATTTCTCCGCACCGCGAACCAAGCTTCTCGTGCTCCTTTGGTCGTTCTCGTCCAACCTTTCTGCCCTTCTCCTCTACTTTTAATTCGCTAATTTCACCCAGTTAAGAATTTATGCGACGGAACGTCGCGCCAGACGTCTCGAGAAAAATCAAAGCGGCACGGTGGAAAGAACGGCGCCAACCCTTTATCACGAATGACGCGAAATGAAAGATTAAACAAAAGCAACAACGTTTTACGCGTCTGGAAAAAGTGTCGGGTGCGGGGAAACGTGAAACGTAAAACGTCTCCGTCGAACGGGGAACAATTTCTTCTTACCCCCTGCGCGAAAATCGTCTTTGTTTCGACAAACGTTTCCCAATTACAGCAGCTCGCTGCTTATTTCGTCGTCGAAGGAGGATCGATTAATCGCATTGAACGGGATACCTTTTGGCAGCTTACTTGATTAATTCGTGTAATACGAGCTAATCAACTCGACCGTGCAGGTATAGTAAATATTTTAACGAGCGATATTAATCCTAATATTAGTGTACGCACCGGCATCGTAAATTACTCGTATATCAAAATCGAACATGGAAAGAACATTTCGAAACCGAAACGTCGAGAGCGCGACACTCTCGATTAACTTGCTCGCGAACTGAATCGAGGCGGAAGTACTTAACATTTGTATAATATTACGATACGTTATGGAAGATGTCACGGGCGAAATTACGCTCGCAAAGATAGGCACACTTACTCCTGACCGTTTATCGTTCTATCCTAGAACGCTGCATCTCGCTAGATCAAAACCAATTAGCTAAATTCGCAGGTGAAAAACGAGCGCAAGAACTTTTCTTCCTCGAACAAGCAGCTCGTGTTCACATACGGTGAAACGATCGCATACGATGGCGAGAATCGAGGATACAGAGAAGAAGTAACGGTCAGAAAGTTCTATTCCCCGATAGCGAAGAGAAAGGCAATTAAACCGTTAAAAGGTAAAAGGTAAAGATAATTAAAAGTTGAAGATACCGTATGGCCTGCCAGAAAATTAACGTAGTCATGCCGTATATGCATAGGCTGCCGACCAATGAGTCTATTCTAATTTTCTACGAACCCTTCCGCGGTGATGCATTTTTTCCATGAGGGTTAATTTGAATAGGGACGCTGGCCTTACATGGGGGATGCTTCGGCGATACGCCTACGCTATTTTTTCTTCTCTTCGACCTACACTTCTATCTTTCTTCGTTTCTTTTTTCTTCATTGTCTTTTTTTCGATCTTCCTCCCTTTTTCTTTCCTCCTCTACGCCTATTATCGACCGAAATCCTGGTGAATACAACCTGGTTGGCAACATTTTCCTCGTGCAAGCAACGTGTTCCTTTTTTCATCTTTTTCCCCCGTTTTTTTTCCCCCTATTTCGGGATCA